CACTGTTTAATCTCATTGATGGATTTTTCTCTGAAATTTGCCATAATTTGTACTGACATGCGTATGTTAGTGTGGAGATTTTTGCTGAAAACAAATTTAAAACCTTCTTCTTCCTCCATTCCGGTTTCATTTCTGTAGCCAAAATAAGCTTGGAAGATTCTTTTGTAATAGACTTTTGGATGTTCATGCTTGCCCTGCATGACCTTGTCCGCGGCTGGGAAACCAGCAGGTCCCGTGCAGGGGTCGTACTCTCTGATCAAAGCTTCACACAGAAGGTTGTAATCCTTTCTCGTTGCATCAGGTAGACGCTCGATGAAGGTGAACACCTCTCTGTCCGAAGTGAGCCTTATCAGACTGATCTTATCCTCAACCGTAGCATTAGGATAACCACTCAGTCTGAATTCAAGGTCTTTGAGGTACGCTTTTGTTCCAGTTGAACCCATCGGTCCAGGTACAAAGCGTTGTACATATTTTGAGAGTTTTAGCAGAACATCTATTGAAAGAGGAAGTTTCAATGTTCTCTGTTGCATGTTTGGTAGAGGAGACCTATTCAGGTCTGTCCCTACCACCTTAGGTATGTATGGAGGGGTGTATGATGTGAGGAGATTTGGGTTTGAAACCCAGTGTGTCTCCACATCCTGTCCACGCCTCTCACCACCTTTCCTTTCTGCATGGCAAAGTTGTGTCTTAAGCACATCTATCTCGGCTTTGCAGCGGGAAACTTGTGACACTGTCACGACGTGATCCCGTCTTAATGCAAAGTATACTCTGGACAACAGCTCTTTAGCATCCCTGGCTTCAGATAGTGATGCATTAAATAACTGTATTTTGCTATTCAGTGAATCAACTTCTGCACGTGCATCTTGCTGTGATTGAAACATCTGTTCAGAATGTTTTTTTGTGAGGACTTCGTGTTCACTTTTAAATTGAAGGAAGTGTTCTTCAATTTCCTGAACCACCTCTTTTTCACTGTTTAACCTTATTGCAAGGTCATAAGCTTTCTCAACCACTGTATAGAAAGATTCTTTCAGCAAGATTGCCATTTTAGCCAGCTTCTCATAACTTGACCTTGTAATTTCTGTAGAGGTCACACTCTCTGCAACCTCCTTCAGATTGTCCAATAACTCTTTTGGATTCATGCTGTCCACCTGTTTGCCATATGGATGTAAGGATCCTGTCAGCAGTGCTAACGCATCCTCTAAACAGTCTTTCATCTCATAAGGATCAAAATCTTTTTCTATCACACCTGTCATGGTATTCACTGTGTAGCACTTTATCTGGTTAAAACAGTTGCCAGCTTCAGATATTTTATAAGTAAATATTTGTATTCAAGTGTCATTGAGTTTCACACTATTTTAGCTCTGGGTTTACACAAAAGTACTGTTATAAGTCAACTTATTCAGAGGAATGGGCACCTGTCATAGGTTTTACCCCAATTCATGAATATTTAAGTAAATGCTTCTCTGCAGTGTTACTTTTAATGTGCTTATTTTTTAACAGATACTAGGTTACCAAGCTTCTCAGTGTTTTTTACTCTAAAGCACTAAACTTAATAAACCTGCAATTTTTCTAAAAAGTCTCACAGCAACATCAGTTTAAAACGTTTTTTAAACCGTTCACTTCCAGAAATTCGCTATTTTAACAGCTACTCATTAAACCAGGTCGGTGAAAGAAAAATAATTTTATTTCATGAGGAGCTTCAGTCTTTCTTCAGAAAAACTGTTATACTCCTCTTCTCCTGCCATTATCTTCTATTTAAAAATTAAATAGGAAGATGTAGTGTTTCAGGTGTTAAAAACAAATCATAAAAGTTTCCTTTTCTGATATATTTACTCTTATTTAGTGATCTAGCAATTAAACGTGTATTATCTCTCCAGCAAATGAGTAAACTTATCAACTCTGTGAATATCTGAACCGTATATTTTAAAAAGTTTCTAATTTTTCATTTTGCACCTCCTGTTTGAGGAATTCAGTGAATGAAAAATGTCCTGGTAAATGCCTTTCTTGCATAAATACCTTAATCACTTTTTAAATGCAAGATAACAGTAATAATTCAGCTTGAGGAACGTTTATTAACTCAAAAATGCCCGTAGCAGACATAAGCACGTCTAATTTCACCAAAAATAACCTAAAACGAAGTGAAACTGTGATTTCAAGTTTCTACAGGAGGGGGCAGTGTTAGCTTTCTACCAGCAGGAGCCTATGACAACATCCTGTGGACGTTCTGTTGACATCCTGTCGTTAGCCGCTTAGCTTAAAATTAGCTTCGGCTAAACTCTGTAAAATCAACATTTCTGAACGTATTTCAAGCTAAAACGTGGCGTTGTTTCTACAAGCACGACTTCTTTGCATGAAAATGAGTTTTGGGGACATGTGGCACGGCACATTTAGTGATTTTAAGCACAGAAAAGGCTCGGTGCAACCGAGCTTTACAACCTGACATCAGAGGAAGTGACGTAGGCACGTCACATATCCGGTCGTTAGCTGTTAGCTTAAAATTAGCATCGGCTAGCGTGGTCCAAAAACACTATTTAATGACGGATTTCAAACTCAAACGTGGCAAAGTTTCAGCGATTAGGCTTCGAAGAAACGGAGCAGCGGATCAGAATGCAACTTTAAAGCGTTTTTCAACTTTAAAAAGCAGATTGAAATTCCCTATGAAGACGAGCTTCATTTCCGGGTCACGTGACTGAATCTACCAATCATAACAGCGCGGGGGTGGGCTTTACATCGCTGACATCAGATTTAGTGACGACAGACACGTCTCTCAGCCAATCAGGGCTTTCCACACGGCCGTTTTCAACCAATCACAGATCGTTTTTCCAGCTAGCGTGTAGCATTAGCCTGAACAAGTCCGTCAACTTTTCGTCTTTTAAACCGTCAAAATGCACTATTTTCTGTTAAAAATGTAACGAATCAACTCTGAAAGCTTAACGGAGGCGGCGCTCCGGTCTCAAAACGTCTTTCCAACCATTTAAAACAACTCGTTCGAACTCATCAGAACCGAGCCGGACCAGACCAGAACCACGTCTGGAACACAGTTTAAACAGAATAAAGCGTTTTAACACAAACCCAGCTTCAGTTACACATAACAGACGTACAATTTCAGCTTTCATAAAGACTCATTGACTCACAATTTCAGCTTTCAAAACATCACTAGCTACAAGAACCTTGCTGTACTTTCTCCAATCGTCGCAGCTGCGCTGCGTTTCATACAGCTACAATCTGCACTTTTTCATGCCAACATGATATTCAATTGTTACGCGAATACAGTCCATTTATGAAGCGTACGAGGCCACCAGATGTAGATGAACATATGCTGATATATATTCATAAATTAAACTGATTCTTTCATTTTTCTGGACTGGATAATATCGTGCATTGAATTATTAAACATGTAACGTGAGACGTTAATTATCTTTGACTCACCAACGACAGTGGATCATTTATTAACAGAATCAAGTTTAACACATCACACATTTACATTAATTGGCAAAAATTGAAAATAACAACAGCTTATTTAGGCTAGTTTTACAAGAAGGAAACAATACTGCGATTGTTTCCCTTGCTTCTGGATTAATTTGCTAGCAGATAGAAGAATTTTAAAGATTGAAGTTTAGAGGGAGGGAGATGGTGTGTGTGTGTGAGTGAAAAGTGTTGAACAGAACGGCACCCTCCATTCGACCCAG